CATGTACCTTGGCTGTGGGCACATCCCCAGTAGGGAGTGTGCAGGAGGCAGCTGATTGATGTTTCTCTCTCATCGATGTTTCTAACTCTCTATCCCTCTCCCTTCTTCTCTGTGAAAAAATCAATAAAATATATTTTAAAAATTTAAAAAAAAATCTCAGTGGTTAGAAAAACACATACAATAAGACTATTGTTTGTAAGTACTGGATTTCATTTGTAAATAATGGAACTTATCAATCTATCAAAAGAAGAAACCCTTTATTTTCTGATTAAAAACTTAACCCTTTAGACCCAGGTCAGACCAGACATGCTTTATATTACAATTTGCCTTCAGTGTATTACCTCCCAGAAGATTTACATTTGATTTTTAGAAATTTAGAGTAAAGCAAATGAAGGACAGATGGGTAAAGATGAATCATAAACTCTCCTCCCTCAACTTATAAGGAAATAGATAGAAAAAGCAGAAAAATTAAAATAAAATCAGAACAGCCCGGCTGGTGTGGTTCAATGGTTGAACACAGAACCATAAACCAGGAGGTTCCAGGTTCCTGTGGTCAGGGCACATGCTGGGGTTTGGGGCTAGATCCCTAGTAAGGGACACGCAGGAGACAGCCGATCAATGTTTCTCTCTCATTGATACTCCATCTCTTTCTCTAAAATCAATAAAAACATATTTTAAAAAACTGTAAGAGGAACCACACAAAGAAAGGGCTACAAGTTGACATAATAAATTTTGACAAGGGGCAAGCAAAGACATAAACAGAAGATTAATTGAGATGTAGCTGAGTGTTACTGCTGTTCACCCCAACCCCCTTCCCACCCAATATGCTAATAATAGGAACATGAGAATATCAAAAGTACTGACAAGTAGAGGCAAGTAAATTGTAAACCTATAGGTGTCCCCACAGGGACAGAATGAACTTGAAACCAGGTTCAATGAAATTTGCCATTTAATACAATTTTTAAAAAAGATAAGAGAACCTAGATCCTCCAACAAAGGCAGCTGAGCTCCCCACCCCTTCATCTATCCTCTCCGGGACTTTGAGCTAGCAGGATACAGAAGACTGCAATAGTCAACCCACAAGTATAGCTCCAAAGAGAAAACTGACAGATCTCAGTGCAGGTATAAAGCACTTTAAGAAAAATGGATTCTCACTATATCAGAAAAGACAGAGGATATGAGCAAAGCTACCCACAATAAGTATGAGCAAGTAAGATACAAAGAAATGATAGCAACTAGCTATGCAAACAAACAAACCAGAATCTACAAATCCATAGCATGCAAAGAATCATTATAATAAAAGGGTACGTGACTGTTACAATAGAACAACCAGAAAGACTGGTCGCTACGATGTGCACTGACCATCAGGGGGCAGACGCTCAATGCAGGAGCTGTCCCCTGGTGGTCAGTGTGCTCCCACAGGGGGAACACTGCTCAGCCAGAAGCCAGGCTCATGGCTGGCGAGCCAGAAGCCAGGCTCATGGCTGGCGAGCACAGTGGCAGTGACGGGAGCCTCTCCCACCTCCGTCACAGTGCTAAGGAGCAGTGAGCAGGCGGGCGGTAAGGAGCGATAGGTCCTGGACTGTGAGAGGGATGTCCACCTGCTGGCTTAGGCCTGATCCCTGGGGGTCCCAGACTGCGAGAGAGCGCAGGCCAGGCTAAGGGACCCCCCGCCCCCCAGTGCATGAATATTGTACACTGTGGTAGAAAACAGATAAAGACCATAAGAAAATTCTCATCAGTCTTTTGGCTACAAAAAGTAAAAATAACACTATTTTTTAAAAATACGTTTTTACTAGTATTGATTTTAGAGAGAGAGAAAGGTAGAGGGATAGAGAGATAGAAAGGAAACATCCATGAGAAAGAAACATCAATTGGCTGCCTCTTGCATGTCCCCTACTGGGAATCGAGCCCAAAACCTGGGCATGTGCCCTGACCTGGAATCTAACCTGGGACCCCTTGGTTCATGGTTTGACATTCAACCATTGAGCAATACCAGCTTGGCAAAAACAATATTTTTAAAAAGAGCAAAACTAGTATCAAAGATCGAACATGGTAGATAGCAAAAAAGGAAAAAATCAAATGATGATCTGTTTCTGGATTAAATTTTGTACCAGGTAAAAAGAAGCTATAAAGAACATCATGACAATTTTTAAAAATTAAATATGCACTATGTATTAGAGACTCTATTACATAAATGTTAAATTTCCGAATTTTTATTATTTTACTATGGCTGTGTAAGAGAATGTCCTTGTTCATGGGAAATGTACCCCCAATTTTTTTTTGTAAAAGGATCATGATGTTTATAACTTCCTCTTTAATGGTTCAGGAAAAAAAAGAGGTGTGTGTGTGTGTGTGTGTGTGTGTGTGTGTGTACCTATGTGCAATGGGGGCAAAAGCCAAACAGGTGGTGACTGGATAAAGTATATACAGAAGTTCCTTGTATGATTTTTGCATTCTTGTAAGTTTTCTGTAAGTTTGAAATTATACCAATGTAAAAAATTACTAAAGCAATTCCTTTAGAGAGCTAATTTATTATGTTGATCAATAAGGAATAGCCAGCCTATAGCGCACTGAAAACTGTAACTCTGACATAGAAGCTACCCTTGAGAGAATCACAGTAAATTCAAAGAAAGTTTAAAAAAATGAATTAAATAGTTGAAGAAAACATAAGTAAATGCATTGTACAAAGAGGATCCAACATAAACAAAATAGGTTTCTCAGCAGGAGAAAACCAAATGGAACAGAAAAGCAATTTAAATATACAATAGCAGAAAATTTCTCTGAAAATAAAGAGGAACTTATTTTGCAGACAGAAAGAGAACCCTCTATTTTAAGAAAGGCTGGATTATTAAAACTAAACAATCCTCGTTCAGTTACTGAGTTTCAAAGATATGATTTTTTTTCAAATATCCAGTGAGAAAATAAGAGAGAGGGTGAAGTAAAGAATCAAGGTGACCTCAAACTACTTCAGAGGGGAATTCAGGCCCAGAAAATGATGAGTCAGTATGTACAAGGTTTAAGATAAAAGTGATTCAGGGAAATTACCCTCAGCCAATTTGCCATTCAAATATAAAGGTAGCAGGCATTCTGAAGCATGAAAAAACTCAAGAAATTGAGCTACCATGAGCCCTACTTAGGGGAAAAGCTACTTGACAATCACATTCAAGCAAACAAAATTTAAAAGGAAAACTGTGCTAAAGGATGAACTAGCACATATTCAGAGACAGAAGACTAGAGAAATGTCCAAGTGCAAGGGGAAAAATTGTGATCCACTAATTTCATACTTTAAACAGGCTGCAGGTTCAATTCCAGGTCAGGGCACATACCTAAATTGCAGGTTCAATCCCTGGTCTGGGCATGTATAGGAGGCAGCCAATCATGTTTTTCACTTTCTCTCTCTCTCTCTCTCTCTCTCTCTTCCTTCCTCTTTCTCCAAAATCAATAAACATTTCCTCAGATGAGGATTAAAAAAGGCACAAAATTGGGAAGTCACAGCAAAAATGCTGGTACTGATCATTTAATCCATAAGAATTTTCATTAAGAAAGAAGAAATAAAAGGATACCTTGAAAAAATGAAAAGTTATAATATCACTATAACAGAGATGTATTCAATGCTATCTATAATCACATGTGGTTAAAAATAAGAAATAAATGAGTTCTTATATTTTATTACTGTCTAAAATAAATCATAAAGAAAAAATGGTCTCAATTGCTTACTGTTTATTTTTACCTTTTTCCTTAATTTTTAAATTTACTGGTTGGACCATAAAAATTGCCAATATTCCAAAATGTTAATTCGAACTACATGAAATTGCCTTTTGTGATTAAACATTTTTGTGATTTAAAAAACTTATTTGAAATGTACAATTTATTTTAGTTTCAGTTCAATTATTTTTATTACTTTGGGTAAATAAATTTATAACTTTAAAAACAATTATGTAGAATATAAGTTTATTTTTATAAAATTATTATTATATTTCCTATAATCTATCCTCCTAACTATAAGTTCTTATATGTATGTTTATGATATAAGCAGAGAAGTTTAAAATGAAGCTCATTAAATATTAATAATAGTTGTTTTCAGAATAGTAAAATTTTGTGGGGATTTAGGCTTTCTTTTGTATTTCTTTGTATTGCTTGAATTTTTCAAAACCAAGATGTATCCTCTTTTAAGAAAACAGCTAAGTCATTATTCTAAGGTAAATATCACTAAAACAACCAAGGGAGGAGCCATGGGTGAAATCCACAGGCCCTGAGAAGTTTCTGGCCTGCCTCTTAGATTTGCAGCGGCTTCCATCAAACTGAGTGAACAACTTTCTGGCGAATATTAAGATTTCCTCCCCTGATGTTTTGTTCCTGAACCAGACCTTTGTGAATTCAAGAATGTGGCTATGACTTACTATTCTCCATCCACGGAGGTTTAGGAAGTAGAATGCACAGACATAATTTCTCTTCAAACTGGTCAGCCAACTACTAGCATCGGTCTCAACTGGGTACTTGTTAGACGTGCAGAATCTCGGGACTGTCCCCAGATAATACAGAGACCCAACCTGCATTTTAACAAGATCCCCGGAGGCTCTCTGTATAAGGTGAAGCTTAAGAAATACTGCTTTAAAACATCTAACAGCTTAATTCTCCAACAGGGATGTTGGACAGCAGCTTTCATACAGCTTACAGAGATTAGCCATTCAGTGGGTTTGCAGAAAGAAGAACAATTTTTTCCCCTGTCCACATGAAGGTTCTTATGCAAGACAATGGAACTAGGTATCATGTGACCTATGGGGACCATCTCTTGTGTGGCTGGCATCCACACACAACATTTTCAGAGTGACCTCAAGTGATATTCAGGAAAACAGACACAGAACTTGGATGGTTAAAGGAGGTAAAGGAAAAGACATTTTGTTTGTTAGCTTGTTTTCTTGGAGCAGGATGTGAAGAATCAGGCAGAGGGCAGAGTTAACATTGTCTACAGTGGGAAAAAAAAAACCCAGCATTACCTGCAAGATTTCTCAGCCCATTCAATTCCTTTTCCAGGCTGTCGAAGGCTTGTTGGTCAGCAGTGTTGTCTGAAAAAGGCTCATCGTGGTCAGTAATATCAATGTGCTCAATTTCTGAAATTTCAAAAGCAGCTCTAGACAATGATTGAGCCGGGGCACTTCTTGGTGGAGGATGGAAGGAGGAATTACAGTTGGAACTGCTTTGAACAGAGGTGGAAAGTGGTAAATTTGCTGTTGAAGGTCTCTGTGACGTCTTGCCTAAAATGAAAAAAAAAAATTTAAATCAACTTCTTTTTAAATTCTGAATGAGTGCTTAAAGATACAAAATACCAGCCCCCTAAACTTAGAGCAGTTCAGTTCATGCAAGAGAGTGTGTGAAAAATTAAATTTTAGATTATCATCCATACTTTGCTAATCCCAAATTACTTTTCCCATGTTATAAAAAATACTTCTCGGTAAATTTTTCATAATTTTTCTATATTGAGAAAAAGATTAAATAATTTTAATATTAACTAAAGCAAAAAATCTGCAAACTAAGTCAATTGCAGACCAGTACAGCACTCAATCTTATATCATCTATCTCCTAGGCAACTGCTGTGCATGTTTCTTAAATTCTAGGACAATACCACACTGTGCCTTGTCAGAGGAAAACAACCCAAGGATAATCATGGTACCACTTCCTAGTGAACCAATTTTACTTGGTGGCATGTAATTTATTTTTATATTAGAACAAACATGGAGCCCGGCCCTAGTGGCTCATTGATTGAGTGTCAACCTATGAACCAGGAGCTCACAGTTCAATTCCTGGTCAGGGCACATGCTGGGGTTGCGGGCTCGATCCCCAGTGGGTTACATGCAGGAGGCAGCCGATCAATGGTTCTCTCTCATCATTGATGTTTCTATTTCTCTCTCCCTCTCCCTTCCTCTCTTAAAACAATAAAGATACATTTTAAAAAAATAGCAAAGATGAAGACAAAATAGATTAGTGTAAATTATTTTAAAAAATGAAAAGTATAGGCTTTAAAGAAAGTGAGAACACATCTCTAATTTCCTAAACACGAGTTCACTCTCTGCTGCCTTACGGGGCACTCAGTGGAAAAGTCCCGGAAGCACAGATCTAAGTCAGGTTATCACTGTGTTCTACCAGGGAAGTCAGGGCTTGATTTATTTCAAAGGTTGGTTCCGTTGGTTTCTTCAACAAGTGTGTCTCTTTCATAGTATGAAGAAAATAATCCCTTCAAATTTTATACTAATACAACATAATTAATTTGTACTTTGGCACCGTTCCAAGATTCTTTAATAAAGGGAATTTTCAAGGTACAAATTTAGAAATGCATAGAACTGGTAAAGTTTTAACCGTACTGAATCACTGTTCTGATTTAGATAAATATATTTATATTAAGTATAAATGATTTATATTAGAAGATAAGCTTGCATTCCCTTAACACAAATTGCCATTGTGTAAAATATTAAAATCTTTAGTGAAGTGCTATTGTCATTATCATAAAAATTATGATTTGACTGAACATATGCCATATAGCATTATGCCCAATCTATTGACTCAAAGGAAAATGTAAAATTCAGAAGAGAGGCTACAGACAGTTGGCATGTATTAAATATTTATGACTATTGAGTTATTTTTTTAAATTTACAGATCTACTCTGAATGTAGCTAGTACCCTAAGAAGAATCTTAATGCAGTGGGTAATTATTTAAGCAATTAAAACTGACTAAGGTAAGTCCCAAAGGGCATCAATTTTAATAAACACTTCAGAAATCAATTTTGAAAACACTTTTTGTTGGAATAAAATTATGAATAAATTAAAATAAGATCTTGACCTTTTGTGTCTATTTGTGTTTGGAGACTATTCTGGAAAAAAAATATCTGACAAAAATTTGCCTATGTTTTAAGAAAAATAAATGTACATATCCCTAAGAATTATTTTAATGGCAAGAATTTAAAAATGATTTACCCTTTTACCTATAATATGTAACCAATCAATATTTTATCCATAGCCATTTATAAAAGCAAATTTGCCATTCATTCCTGCATAATGAAGCAGTGATAGGAACAACAATAGAAGCACAGGTCAGTGCATGTAACAACAATTCACCTACATAAATCAAAAGTTCTAGGTCTATTGGTGCTCTTGTTCCAGCATCAAGAAGGGTTCAGCAATCTGGAGAAGGGGGCCGTGTATAACTTAAAGAGTCCAGAAACGAAATATAATTTTGAAAGTCATTTGGGGGTCAGAGGAGCTTAGCTAAAAGGAATTGTCTCAGGACCCCATGCTTTTTATTAACACAAATTGTCCTGAGGCGAGGCAGAGATATACACTTCAAAGGGTCAGGGTTTTGTATACAGTGGCCATTGTCAGATGGGAGGAATTAGCCTAGGGCTGTTCAGGTGTTTGGCCAGTAGGAGGCAATAACATGTAGATTAAGATGCCCTGAGCTGTCTGGTAGCAAGCAATCATCACTTTTCAGGTTTGGGGAAATGCCATCAGCCATTCCCAACAGGTGACAACATATGTGACTCAGCCCTTGTTGAGTCCCCCAGTTCCATCAGCCTTTCAATGAAACTCTTGCCATTATGACATGCTGGAATTGGCTTCCGGCATAGGTCTATGGAGAAAACCACACCCATCTATCTGTATTGTGCTAGGTTTCAGTCAAATAAAATTTAAAGGGGTTTAGAATGCTTATGAAAATAAAACAAACAAAAGATTTATTAGCAAGAACTGGACTTCTGCCAACACAGATAGATACGAGGTGAAAACATTTTGACATAATGTTGATGTCCTTCAGAAAATTCAGGAGAGTACAAATACTTTCCGAACTCTTATAACAACATCTGGCTGCCACAATACTTGAGGGTAATTGAACCCAATTGAGAAAAAAATAAAAGTATACCAGAAATGAATCAGACTTATGCTTAGCACACAGCAAGGAGACAGACCGTCTTTCTTAATGAAAATACATTCAAAATGCAATTTAGAGTAACCAACATGCAGACACAGAAGATGCTCTAATTTGGTCCTTGACTTTAGTCATTTATTTTATTCATGTAGGTGGGTATGTCATTCTCTTTCATGTTTATTGTATAAGCTTATTAATGTTATTGGTAGGGTTAAGATTTGAGACACAGTTAAGGCTGGCATTAATGAAAAATGCCACTATTGCAGGGATCATTCCATACTTTTTTACCGTCCAGTTGGTAGATTATAAATATAAGAAATTACTTTAGGAGTAATTTGTGCCATCACTGGCAATGTAATCTTGGGAAATTATAGATTAACACTGATCACAGTTAGACTCTAAATATAACACATGAAATCGCCCTTGGTATTAGCTGAAGAATATATGCTCTATGATTACTAATGAGACCATGCCAAATATTGGAAAGATAAAATTGAAGGATGCCTTTGGGTTATATTAATGGGCACATAGGAATATGAAAATATGAATCACTCACTGAATATTTTCATAGGAATATGAAAATATGAATCACTCACTGAATAACAACAATAGTCATGGTTGCTATTCTAATTACAAATTAAAATTGATGAAGCATCATCAGGGCAACATGGTTTTTGCACAGTGTTTCAGTAACAATTTTTATTCTGGTCATAAGACCCAATATTTCATTCTTGAACAAAGGTTGCAAAACATTATTGTCTATTGATATTCTTGCTCAACTGTGTAAATTACTGAGAATTTGTACATAAAACATAGAAATGTGTTTTCCAGCAGTTCTTGAAACACATATGGATATTTTATTCAGCAGCATGGTTTAGTGGAAAAATGCTAAACTGGGAAGCAAGAACCTGTCTCGTCTCCCAGAATTAGAAATCAGCTTCTGACCTGAGACATGAAAATTCATATCTTGCCAGTAAAATTAAGGAGTTGGACAGAATAATGTCTTAAATCCCTTCCAACTCTGAGAACTTATAAAATTCACACCCCTATCCCATTCAATTACAAAATCATGTGTCAAAATCCTAAAACTGCTAGGTACTGTGTCAGGATCCAGGTTATTCATAAGTGAATCAGACATTGCCCCACCCTCGAGTTGCCCTCCAGACTAACACACAGTCCTACGCTCCAGCTTCCCTCAGTCAGAAGCACTGCCTACGTGCTTACAATGACCCAGGGCCTGTTCCATCACTAAAGATGCACCAATGAACGGGACAGGCTAGGTTCTTGCTTTTTTTCCAACTATGGGTGGGATCAGCAGAAAATATACAAGTAAATGAAAATAATTTCATTTAGTGATAGGTTCTATGAGGAAGGTAAATGTGATTAAGGGACTCAAGTGACCAGGATGAAATAGATGGGGTGGTCTGAGAAGGCCTCTCTCTAAGGAGGCAGCCCCTGGGCTGAGACTGAATAATGGAAAAGAATCAATCATATGAATGAGGATATGAAGATGGAGATGAAGGCTTCAGAGCATCCTGGGTCAGAGGGAAGAGCACCGTTTAAAGCTAAGACATAAGGTAAAAGTGTGGCTTGTCTAAGAAAAGAAAGGAAGCCAGTGGGGCTGCAATGGGGGAAAAGCTGCAGTTAGAAAAGACGGGCAGGGCCAACACAGCTGCTGCTGTGTGAGGCACAGTAAGGAATATGATTTTTCTCAATCTTCTCTAAGAGGATATGGGATGCTTTTAAGCAGAAAGATTGACATGATACAATCCAAGGCTTAAATTTATGGGAAATACGATCCACTCCCTATAAATTATAAATAATTTTATGACAACAAATATGAATAATTCATTCACTGACTATAAGTAGTAGAATTTGATGGAAATTAATCATAGCTTTATGAAGAGGCAAAAGTGAATTTGGGGGAGACAAGTAAGAGGTGATGAACAACTGGCTTGGGTTCATCTTGAGCAGATAGAAGTGGTTAGATTTGAGCTGAAAACAGCAGAATCTACAGATAAATAGGATGTGATGAGAAAGAGAGTCAAGATGATTCTCTGGGCTCAGACTTAGCAATGTTTGGAAGGCGGTGCCATTTACAGAGACGGACAGATGGGTTGGGGGAGGACTAGGAGTAGGTTTTAGGAGGAGGTGGGTAGAATCAATGGACTTGCTGGTAAATACACATATCTCTCATAACTATCGTGTTTTACATTCACAAATCTAAAAAATCTTACAGAAATAGGAATTCCTTTATATACTGGCATCAGTTCAGAATGTAAGACTTCCACAAGTTATGGCACAGCCAGGAAAATTTTGTTTTACCTAAGGCCATTGATAAAGCCATTTTTGTCCCTATAAAGCCATTTCTCTATGCTCCTAACTGGTGAATCTTATGAATTCTTCAAGCTTTGGCTGAAATGTCATTTAGTCTCGAATACTTTGTATATCTACACTTTTCAGTGGCAAAACAATTATTTTACCATCGCCACGCCTAAAAGACTGCACAGGTACCTACCTCTATTATAACTATTATTAATTACACTTCAATCCCCAAAAGTATGTCTCTCACAGTCTTTTTATAAAACTTAGAGATGATGTAATTGATGCTTATATATCTATATAGCAGTTTTCTCAATATATGATTTTGGACAACTATATTAGTATAACTTGGAGTTGTCGATAAAATAAATGCGAATTCCTGGAGCTTATTTAAACCAAAATGAATCGGAATCACTAGGAGTGAGGTGAGGACAGTCATATTACAATAGGTCTCCTCCATGATTCTGCTCCCACTGACATCTGAGAACCTCTGTGCTAGACTCAGCTCTGGGCCACCGGAAGGAGGGCTACTTCACATCACCTGTGCCTGGTAGTGCCTGGCCTGAAGTCGGTGCTCTCACAGATGTTTTAATAGTAAATTATTGATTTCAACTGACAATTCCAAATGGATATTTAAAGGCATTTGGGTAATTATGTATGAAGATTTGTCTTAGTAACAAGTTTCTCAGAGCATGCTGCATGTGAATTTGTATTCATTAATATACCGTGACTTAAAACATTTCCTTTGACTCAGAAGGAAGCAACCAGAATTTTTGAAGATGATCTAGATTCTGATATGAGTATGGGTACCTAACAATAGAGCCAAAAAACATTTGTCATAAATGGATGATTTTTGCACTCAAAATAGTTCATGTCTGACGGTTTCATAACGTAAATGCATATGGAAAATATCTAATCTAGCCAAGGAGCTTTCATCATAGGATTAGGGTAAGGGAGACATGTAAGGCTTACATATCTGTACAAATTATATGTAATTAAATTTCTGGTTTTAAGATGGCTTTCAGACAAAGGCAAAAGGCCCCTTTTTCAAGTGACCCTCCTAAATTGTTCAGGGAACCTTACTGATGCATCCTTTATCCCCTAGTCCAGCCCAGTGCTAACATAGTCAACACGTCTGTGTTGAATTGCCTTAATTCATCAGTTATCTACTGCAAATTCACATAAAATTCGGCATAAATCAAACTTATTTTAGCAGGTATTATTGGATAACAAAAATGAACTAATAATACTATTGATTGGAATAATGTCAAAATTCTCTGCATATACTCACTACGAAAATATTGCAACACACATTCAACATGTCAAAAGAAAATCTTGCAATTATTTAGGGTAGAGAATAGAGTAAGTGAACTAAATCAAGAGCCCCAGGTTAACACCCTCAACATTAGGTTTAGAATCGAGGTATCTCAGCAGTAATCTTAGCCTAAGCCTTTCATTACGTAAATGGCTATATCTGACCATCATATAAAGCAAGTGGAGAAGTACACAAAACCCAGTATGAATACAGTTTTCCTCAGAGCGTAATGAAACTGAGTAGGTAAGGATTGCTCAAAGTATACACCATATCCTGAGCTATATTTTTAGAACATTATGCTCCAATACATTGCTACAGCAAATAACTAAGGTTGCAACTCAGTTTGTTTGTGTGTGTATGTGTTTGACAGGAATAATGACAACTCTAGGTTTTTTTGGTTTGGGGAGAAAAGTATAGGACAGTTAGTTAAAATGACTAAGTTTAAATTATAACACTGCAAAAATTAATTTTCAGGTGGCTGGTAAACTGCTAAAGACAAACTAATAGTGTGAATCACCAACATGTCACTGTCCAGTATGTACAGTCCATCTCACCCATCTTTTGCTGTGTTCTACTTGGTGATGGGTTCTGGTCACTTGGTGCAGCACCCGAAGCAACTGCACTGTTAGGACTTATGCTCTGGTCTGGGATCCAGTCTCTGTCTCCTTAAATAGAAAAATGGTACAATTATATACATTGTAAAGGAGAAAAATTCATTGTCGCTTTATTTATTTTTCTTTGTTATTAGGATTGAATTTATTGGGGTGACATTGGTTAATAAAACTATATTATCTTACTGGTTAATATTTAGCTAAAGAAGGAACATTTATAACAGTTTAGTATATATTATGAAAGACAAAATCTCATAATTACACAATAAAAACCATTAGGTTCACATAGCTTAATAAGGAGAAAAAAATAAACTCTAAATTGCAAAGATATTATACATGTTTGAAGAGAAACAAATATTTTAAGTATTTAACAATATTACATAAAGCATAATTGTTTGTATGTGAAAAAACACATTTGAATACAGAGGAATCTTAAGAACTCACGTGAAACCAAAATCTAGTTTTAAAAGAAAATTATAGATATGTCTCAGAAATCTCACAGATCCTGAGATTTTGGGATTTTTCTTTAAGCTGACATTTAAGAATCATCATATAATGCTCGCTAGTTAATAAATTGATTCAAAAGATTTATATTTCATAGTTTATTAAGGGACACATTTCTAAATTCTAAAAATAATCTCTCCCCAGTCTCATAATAGTCGTGTTATCTCTCATTCTGATAGCTGTCTTCAATATAAATATGTGGCAACTCACACGGGACTAATAATTTCAGCTAGAGAAGAATATAATGATTGTATTCGCTGAACAGAATTGTCCAATATTTCCTAAGATGAGGATGGACTGCTTTAAAAAATGTGTCAGAAAATTGTTAGGTTGGTCAACAGGCCAACTGATCTCATGTCTGAATTTACCTGCAATTGTTACCTTAGTACCGGAAGATCTGCGTTCTAAACTATGAGAAGGCAGCAAGTTGAGTCTTTTGTTTTTATCAGGAACAAAGAATCTTTCAAGTCCTTGATATTTTTCAGTAATAGGCTTATTTCTGAGGGCTATTTCTTGTAGCAACTAGGAAAAAAATATTCAACAAAATTAAGTTTATTTATCTCATCAACACAAAGCAGCATATTCATTCATTGAGTACCTACTATGTTCTTGGGATGGATTCTGCCCACCTCAAGTTTAATTTCTAGTAAAGGAGACATAAATAATAGCATTTATATATAATAAGTTTTGAGAAATGTATAAACCACAATTACAGTAATTATCTGAAAGTTGCCATCCAACCAAGGAGTACAGAAGTTCATGAAACAAAATTTTCCTTTCTCCTTTCTTTCCTTTATTTTTTCCCCTCAATGTCATTGCACACACATTATATGGAAAACAGGATCTCTCTCATATGCTGTGCTTTTTGAACTAGTGTCTTTTTCTATACATAATATTATCTCAAAGATGAAATGTCAAAGGGAATAAATCTGATCAGACTATGGTCATAGACAAAGTCCAAGTTAACAAAATATTCATCATGAAGCAATTAGGAAACTGAGGCAGGAACAAGCTATGTAATTTGAGTTTATATAGCTTGAAAGTAGCACACCTAGGTTTTGAATATAAGTCTATCTCATTTGATGCCTAGACTTACTCTATCACTCTATGAACTCATTTTTTATATGCTTTCATCCTAAGGAAGAGTACAAAAGAGATTAAACAGTACATGAGCCCTAACCAGTTTGGCTCCGTGGATAGAGTGTCGGCCTGCAGACTGAAGGGTCCCAGGTTTGATTCTGGTCAAGGGCATGTACCTTGGTTGCGGGCATATCTCCAGCCGGGGTTGTGCAGGAGGCAGCTGATCGATGTTGCTCTCTCATCGATGTTTCTAACTATCTATCCCTCTCTCTTCCTCTCTGTAAAAAAAAATCAATAAAATATATATATTTTTTAAAAAGTACATGAGTCTAGTAGGAAACAGATTAGAGATTTGAAGTGAGAGCTCCAGATGGGCTTACAATATATCAGAGTAGCTATCAGTATTTTAAAAGTTCCCTAATGGATCTAATGAATGCCCTAATGTGGTCTGTTCAAGCTGGTAACCAACACAAAAGAAATTATTATAACTTGTTTCAAATTTATAAATCATATAAATGCTAAAATGTACAAAACCAAGTAGTTACCAATAAATCATCTCATTCAAAGATAAGTCCAAGTCCACTCTACTCATATCTTCACTGGTTCCCCCAGACACTGAAACCAGTTTACAGAACCCCTTCAGCCGTAGTGGAGTTCATGTTTGGATTAGACAATTACAAATCTGGAAAGTTTTTAAAAGCCTTGGTCGGCAGAACAATGAAAGTGAGTTTGTTCTTCCCAAACTCACAAAGTTAACTTGGTTGTTTCAGAACCAGACCAAGAGCCCCTGACTAGACCACGTTCTTCCCGGCACCTGACTTTATCTCACTGCTGCTGCTCTACAACTTAGTACTTAATCTCATAGGTGGTCCCAGCTTTATGAAGAACTCAATTTCTGAAAACTGAAGTGCAAAATGAACTGCCATAGAGTCAATTTCAAAGTCCAGTAATGCCACTACTAAAAATTGTCACAATTGCTCACGCTTGAATTTTGGTCAGCAGAACAATGTCTGTGTCTATGGGTTATGTCTGTATGTTCTTTGGATAATCCCCTTCACCTTCTTTCATCCAGTCCCTTTATTCTCCCTCCCTCTGACAGCTGTCAGTCTGTTCCATGTATTCATGCCTCTGTTTCTATTTTGTCCATCAGTTTATTTTATTCACTTGATTCCACCTCTAAGAAATTTCTATACCACAATATATATTAATCTTTATAAATTAATTGTATTATTTCATTGAAGTTGACATTCTTTTCTAATTATATTTTAATATTATTAGATTTGAGTGTATCCATAAAAAGTTACATATTGTAAATGTTTCCAAAAGTGCTATCAAACTCTATGTACCTTTTTACATTTCAACTTTTACATCATATTCTTGAGATGTATCCATGTTAATAAAAATAGTTCTATTTTATTTATTTTAACAGAAGACCATGTCTCCTGCTAGGGCAAAGGTCAGCCGGGCCTATGCCCAGTGTAAGAGAACTGGGTGTCTTTGCTCAGGACTCCTCTCCTCTAACACAGCACACTGCATGTGCAGGTGCCACCAGCCCTCTTCATGATGCCCTGTGGAAACTGGCCAGTTAGAGTTCTTGTTTGTTCTGTTTGCACAAATTCAATCTATGATCAATTGTTTTCTTCATTGGAAGAAGGGAGAGTCTCCTGGCAAAGCCCTTCAGAGACTGAGCAGACTTTTAGGGATCTAAGGCTTTGCAGAGGTCTCAGTTCCAATTTGCCACATTAAAAAGGAACAAAGTGGGCACAGAAATCCAATCTCCAAACAGAAATAGCAGCAGCTCAATATTCAGTCCGAATTTTTGGTACCACCTTCAGTTTAGGCACCAGCCAATTACTTTAAAGCAGGGGTCCTCAAACTACAGCCCACGGGCCACATGCAAATACAAATATTGTATTTGTTCCCGTTTTGTTTTTTTTACTTCAAAATAAGATATGTGCAGTATGCATAGGAATTTGTTCATAGTTGTTTTTTTTTTAAACTATAGTCCGGCCCTCCAACGGTCTGAGGGACAGTGAACTGGCCCCCTGTTTAAAAAGTTTGAGGACCCCTGCAGTTTAAAGGGTTGTTAAAATGCTGGACTTGCCCATTTCCAAAGAATTTAACATTTGTCTTGCTCAATTTTCCAAGAGTTTATCATTAATAATCACTATTACCTAACATTTTTAGTATGTAGAACAGAGATTTAAATATAGTTTTAAAATTTGGTAGTAATGCAATAATTATTGCCAATAGCTACTTTACCATTTTTCCTAAGAAGAAACACAAACTTCACCCCTATTTCTTTATTAACCATGTTCCTGACAGATACCTTTAACTCCTATACTTACATTAAGCCACAAAAACTGACTTTATCTACATATATGCCTTTATTTCATTTTAGCCAGTGACTATACAGTAAAAATCTAGAAAGGATTTATTATACTAAAATATTCATAACAAAAAATTTCATTTAGAAAGGTAACAGCACTATAAATACGGTGCATGAGATAGGCCTTAAAGTTTTATTTGTTATAGAAGCCATTTATTATTATGGCATTTACCATATTAGAGATGTCCTGTAAGTCATTAACATTCTTTCCCATATAACTCAATCTTCAACTACCTTGTGATAATATACGGTAGTACATTTTAACTTCAATTGGAGGAAACATTTAAGAATGTATTGTGTGAGTATAAAATTTTCTTATGATGTTTCTTATAAAAATTTTAATATAACAAACATAATAGAAATTTACCAGTGGTGACTCTGTAGTTTTTGAATCTTCCAAGTTTGGCCTCTCCAGAAAGTTGCTAAATTCCAAGGATTCTTTGATGTCTTGAGACAATTTCTCCTTAATGGAAGGTGTTTCTAAATCTACCGTTGGAAAAGAATCCTTGTTCGCAAATGATATGCAGGAATTATTCAGAGTTTGATTACATTCCATATCAATTATACTTTTCTCTTTGAAATGTCTTTCAGAAAAGCTGCTTTCCCCTAATTTTTCAACAGCAGAAGAATATACATCAGGATCCACATTGTTGCCAAATTTTTTATTTGAAGTTCCTGCTGTTGAAAACACACATTTATAAAAGTTAAATAAATAAATTTAAACAAATACATTGATTAATCTGTTCATAAACCAAATGTTCTGTGATGTAAACCTGTATCAATAAACCCTATTTTATCAATGTTTCTTTACTGAGTTCTCAGTGTTAAGATACTATTATGCTGTTTTTGTTCCTAAATGATAATCATGATTTACTTAGACATTCAAACCTTAATGAGCTAGAGACTAATGGAGTGAGGCAAGATTTTATTTTGTAATGAAATCTTGAAATTGATGCAAATTTTTATTCAGCCTTTGGTTCAATTCCCACTTGCCTACCTCCTCTCCCACTCGACTTTTACAACAGCAATTTATGAGAAATAATGCGGAGGGAATCTTATTTCCACATTTCACCTCTTTTCCACAGCATGCTAGTGATGAGGAGAAGGCAAAAAGAAATCTGCCAGATGAATGAGCAGCAGTTAGAGGCATAGAAAATGTTTAATCTGGGACACCTGCTTCTGGAAAGCTACAAAATGAGCAAGATTTTATGAGTCACCACCTCATCATGTCTGCTTTTACCATATCACTTGGTTTAGATCATTGGTTTCAACCTGGTCGCACAATGGATTCGTCTGAAGGTGCTCTTTAAAATTGTTAGTGTGGGGGCCTGACCCCAAACCAACTGAATCAAACACTGGGAGTGGGACCCGAGCACTGCACTGTCTTTGTTGGTTTATTTTCCTCCACAAGTTCTCCAGGTGATTATAATGTGCAACTCGGGTTGTGAACATTGGTCTTAGATTTTCTAAGGAATTAAAATCATTTAACAATTTTTGCACCACATTGCTTTCATTTTACATATATTTTCCAGAATGAATACAGCTTCATCTGATTATCCCTTATTAGCTTTCTAATGTAAATAGCTTATCTCTATAAATATACCGTGTAAAACAGTAGAGGCTATGACTAAAATAATCTCCAGTGATGTAAATTCTGTCTTGCTGCCCAAAGGAATTGTTGCAATCAAATGTTGCTATAGCTCAGCTATTACATGTAGTATTTACTTAGAACTTTCACATCCAACAATTATCACCTCAAATTGCACAAATACTATCAGAAATCCAATAATGTGTATGTCATAGAAATGCTTTACTAAGAAAAACTTTATAAAGGCTATTCAATTTAATGAAACTTCCACAATAATGCTCTATTTTCCTTCTACACTTAAATAGAAGTTATCTGATTTTTTCCAGTAGAAACACATGCAATTTGTTATATGGAAATGTCTGCAATTAATCTCTATGATATTCACTTAAGGTGGCAAAATTTCATTATTAGGATCTTCTGTTGTTGAAAATGAGACAAAACATCCATTTATTAATGTTTAAAATGTGATACAGAATGTACAGGTATGGTTTAATTTACTCTATTCATTGGAAGCCCTGTTAAGTCATAAAAATTAGATATCTTGGTTCAATATTCATAAATCAATTTAATTAATCACATCAATAGGTTAAAGAAGAAAAATCAAAGGATCATGTCAATAGATGCAGAAAACATGACAAAATCCAACACCCACTTATGATAAAAACACTCAGCAAACTTGGAATAAAGGGAAATTCTCAATCTGATAAAGACTACAGAAAAAAACCACAAATGCACACACACACACATACACACACACACAAAACTATAGTTCACATCATACTTAATGATGAGAAACTAAAAGCTTTACTCATAAGATGAGAAATAAGGCTAGGTTTTACCCTCTTACCACTCCTTTTTCAACATTGAGCTGCAAAACCTAGCTACCCAGTAAAACAAGGAAAGGGAATAAAAGAAATGCAGATTCAGAAGAAATGAATTTGATATTGTTCACAGATAATATGATTGTCTACGTACAAATTCCAAAAGAATTTTAAAAAACCCCTCCTATAACTAGTTATTGAAAGATTGCAGGATGCAAACTAAACATACAAGTCAATCACTTTTCTATATACCAATATAAACAAGTAAAATTTGAAATTAACATAATAGCATTTACATTAGAAAACAAAAATGAAATACTTAGGTATAAATCTAACAAACTATGTACAGATCTATATGAGTAACACTAGAAATACCTGATTAAATAACTCAAAGACTAAATAAATATATAGTCCGTGTTCATGGATAGGAAGCTTCAATATCATCAAGATGTCAGGTTTTCCCAACTTGATCCATAGACACCATGAAATCTCAATCAAAATATCAGCAAATTATTTTGTGGCTATAGATAAATTGATTCTAAAATTTATATTAAGAGGCAAAAGACCCAGAATAAGCAACACAATATTGATGGAGTAGAAAAAGTCAGAAAACTGACACTATCCAACTTCAATAATTATGGTACAACTATGCAATAAAGACAACGTGGTATTAGCAAAAGTATAAAAAAAATTGATCAATGGAGCAGAATAGAGAATCCATAAATAGACCCACATAAATATAGTCAGATGATATTTGACAAAAGAGCAAAGACAATACAATGGAGAAAAGACTGTCTTTTCAACAAACAGGGCTGGAACAACTAGACCTCTGCATGCCCCCAAAGTCAATCTGAACATAGATCTTACACCCTTCACAAAAGTTTACTCAGAATAAGTGATAGACCTAAATGTAAAATGCAAAATTATAAAACTCCTAGACCACTGGAGAAAATGTAGGTTATATTGGGTATCACGATGACTTCTTCAAACACAATACCAAGCAGATTCCCTGAAAGAAATCATTGATAAGCTGGACTTTATTAAAATTAAAAATGTCTGTTGTGTGAAAGACACTACCAGGAGAGTAAGAAGACTTGGAGAAAATATGTATCTATTAAAGTACTGTTATCCAAAATAACAAAAGAAATCTTAAGAAAATATGAAACCCAACTAAAAAAATGGGTTAACACCTTAGCAGACACTTCATCAAAGAAGATATATTGATGGAAAATAAGTATTGATGAAAAGATGTTCAACATCATAAGCCATTAGAAAATTGAAAATACAAACAATAATGAAATACCACTACACAATTATTAGAATGGCAAAAATTTGAAACACTGGCAACACCAAATGCTGATGAGGATGTGGAGAACAGGAACTGGCATTCATTGCAGGTGGGAATGCAAAATGGTACAGCCACTTTGGAAGACAGTTTGGTGATTTCTTACAAAACAAAATATACACTTAACATGTGATTCAACAATCAAACCCCTTGAGTATTACCCAAATGAGCTGAAAATGTAGGTCCAAACAAAAACCCACACATAGATATATATAACAACTTTACTCATAATTGCCAAAACATGGAAGTGATCAAGCTATTTTTCAATAAGTGAATGTATAAATAAATTGTGGTACATTCAGACAATGGAACTTCAGCACTAAAAAGAAATGAGCTATCAAGGCATGTAAAAACATAGAGGCACCTTTAAATGCATAATACTAAGTGAAAGAAGCCAATTTGAAAAGACTGCATATGATATGATTCCAGCTCTATGACATTCTAGAAAAGGCAAAACTATGGAGACAGTAAAAAGATTAGTGGTACCCAAGGGTTAGGAAGAAGGGAGATATAAGAAATCAGAGCACAGAGGATTTTCAGAGCAGGAAAACTATTTTGAATGAAATATAATACTGGACACATGTCATTATACATTTGTCCAAACCCATAGAATGTACAACCAAGAGTGAACCCTAACATAAACAATGAATTTGGGGTGGTAACAATGTGTCCATCTATGGTTGTTGACTGACAATGTACTATTCTGGTTTGAGATGTTAATAGTGGGAGAAGTTATGAGTTTGTGGTGACAGAGGGTACATGGAAACTCTGTACTTCCTGTTCAGTTTTGCTGCAAACCTAAAACTGCTCTAAAAAATAAAGCCTAGCTCCGGCCGGTTTGGCTCAGTGGATAGAGCGTTGGCCTGTGGACTGAGGGGTCCCAGGTTCGATTCCAGCCAAGGGCACATGCCTGGGTTGCAGGCTCAATCCCCAGTAGGGGGCATGAAAAAGGCAGCTGATTAATGATTCTCTCTGATCATTGATGTTTCTCTCTCTCTCTTTCTCTCTCTCTCTCTCTCTCTCTCTCTCTCTCTCTCTCTCCTCTCCCTTCCTCTCTGAAATCAATAAAGAAATATATATATTTTTAAAAATAAAAAATAAAGCCTATTTAAATAAATTAAGTATCTTTAAAGTAACACTTAATGAACATTTATATTCAGCATTTTCACTCAGGTAACTGGAACACTATGCTACAGTTAAGTCAAAAAATACCCTCTGGACTAGATCTGGAGCTCTGTAAAAGTCCTAAGCCCCCATGTGGATATACTTTCAACCAATTTTCTTCTGAGAACTAAAATTTCTGGGGTTAAAATAAACAGCAAAATAGTCAAAGCTTGTGTATACTGTACTACCAGTTGGTTCTATTTAATTACCAACATTTATTGTTAATAATAGTAATCAACAAGGAAAAAAGTTACCTTTCGAGTTATCTTCACAATAAGAAGGGCTGTTGCTTAGATGAAGATGTAAGAGGTCTATTTTTCCCTTGGTGAAAACATGATGCTGATGGATATCATTTTTATACGGAAAAGTATTCTGATAATCATAAAATGCGCAACTTCCATGTTTATGGAAAAGCAAAAGAATAGCATTGAAAGAAATAATATTAAAAAGTAAAAAGTCCCAACTTATTAAAAGAAATATAATAAAACCTTAAAGAAATAGGGGTATTCACATTGATTTAATGTTTATTTCAGCCTTGCTGTGGACACATTCTAAGCTACAAGTAACTAAGTAGTATTATGGAATTAAAAGAAATAGGCAATTGGGCCAACACTGGTTTTACTACAAAATTTTAATTGAAAGTTGTTTTTCTTTTTAAATTCTCAAATAAATGTGGTTCCTTATATTCTTTCTTCAAAAGATCAAGTGTTAATCTTTTAAGCTCATTAAAATGTGATGAAATCAAAGGTGTTTTCTTTAAATTAATTGAATTTATTAAGATGGCATTGGTTAATAAAATTATATAGGTTTCAGATATACAATTCTATAATACATCATCTGTATATTATATGATGTGTTCACCACCCCAGGTCATTCTCCTCCCATCAAATCAAGGTTTTATACTTAAATAAACTTTTAGTTGTTCATAAATGAACTATTTTAGTTAAAATACCATATGTGGTATTTGTTTCATTTTTAATTATGCTTACCATATATATAAGCATAGTTATAATTTAAATAACATTTCAATGTATTGAATAATATATTTAATAACACCTAAAATTTATGTAAACTCTATATAGTACCATTGTAAAAACATATGCATTATGCTTCATCAAAAAGATCCTCTTGAATCACCTTGATTCTTTATGATTTTTCAAAGAAAATAGGAAGCTCGATGGGCACTTCAAAACCCAAGATGCAAAACTGTTGGTAAACAATGATCAGTAACTTTTTCTGCCTTCTCTAATACCATACAGGGAGGTCAAAGCAAAGATTTGTGATAACATATATAAAATAATCAAATTAAAGGGCAGAAATAGCATTCATTTCCCTGGGGATATATTAGTGGATATAAACCTCTTATCTACTGACCAGAGGTTGTCTACTGCCTTCTGTCAAAATGTCAAATGGCAAAAGCACATTTGCTACTAGAGATCTGGGTCTCTGTGTCAAAACATGGGGCTTTTCACATCTGAGTGCATCACATAGGCCCATTGCTATTCCTAAATGCTGACAAGGGCCTAAGTTTATCTGAACATATAAACAAAGAATTGGCCGAAGGGTTACTTGATGGAAACTTCATTCTGCTGTTTAACCAATTTAATACTTTGTAGTCAAAACACCTTGAAATCCTAGTTAAAGTGAAGGGGAATTGGAGTAAAATTTATTAACAAATAGAGCTAGAGCCCTAGCCAATTTGGCTCAGTGGATAGAGCATCAGCCTGCAGACTGAAGAGTCCTGGGTTCAATTCCAGTGAAGGGCATGTATCTGGGTTTCAGGCTTAAACCCTGGCCCTGGTTGGGCAACCAATCAGCAACCAATCAATGTGTCTCTCTCACATTAATGTTTCTCTCTCTCTTTGTATACCTTCCACTCTTTCTAAAAATCAATGGAAAAATATCCTAGGGTAAGGATTAACAATAACAAAAAATACTGCTAGATATTATTTTTCATTTGAAATGACAAAATTCTACCAAAAGAAAGTTGCAAAGTGAACCATTATACTTAATTTATCACACAATAAAATCTATCTAGGATGTAATCCATAGTTTGGGAGTTCTTTTTGTCTCTCAAACTAATTATTCATATACCTGTTTTTATTAATGGTTCATAGCAAACTGAAGTGAGAAAAATCCAGAGTTATCTTTGGAGAAAAGAACAAGGCTCAGATAAAATATATTGGCCTTGGTCAGTCATTTCAAATAATAGTAATTCCTAAATTCAGAGGCATCTATTAAGTAATCCACATATTAGATAAGAGTATAAATATATAATTATGGATACTTTTCTAATTATTGATTGTTGACTAATATTAGCAATATTGTACACAAATTTAAACATGGATTTACTTGGTTTTTTACATTATGTATGTCTCATTTAAATAAAGAGTTGATTTTTGGTGGGTTTTTTAATAGCATCAAAAGTGAATTAGAAAGACCTTACCTTTGTTGACTAACTGCTTCAGCTAATTCGACTTTGTAAGGCACGATCTTTCCTTGTTCTTCACATTCTTCTTCATAATTCTTATTAAATGCATGTTGTATAATATTAGTATATTTAATAAATGGGTCATTATATGTTAACCAGCTAACTTGTAGGTGATATTTAGAGAATTTTCTTTCACTAATAATGTCATGAATTCTCTGACTATATGTCATAGAACATGAGTTTCTAGAAGAACCCAACAAATTCAAAATATATTTGCTGAGCTGAGGGCACTTGCTTTGTCAGTCATTTTATCATTACTGTCACGCCCAGAAACAATAATACCAACTCATGTTTTATACTGTAACTACTAAGTGCCAAGTAGGTTAGTTCTCTGGCATAAGCTTACTGTATACATCAAGAATTTAGTAACATGTGTGTGTATGTGTGTGTGTGTATTTATTTGTTCAATAGCTTAAATTTATCCAGAGGAGAAATAAAAATGTTGCTAGGTGCATGTGCATGCATGTGCGCACACACACGCGCACACACACACACACACACACACAAACCAGGGGCTATTAAACTAAAGAAAAAAGTAGTATTTAAAGGAGTACTTCCTACATTCTAGTATTTTTCGTTCACAATCACAGTAATATAAATATCAAGGATATGTGCTATCTTCAGCTACTTGATTAGAAAGTCAGAAAGATACGGTTTGCCACAATTTAGACTCTCAGCCCAGAACTCTAGCTCTGACTAGCTCTAGCTTTAGCTGGTTCTACGTGTTGTCTTCTAGAGGTCTGTATTCAAGTTATGATACACTAAACCCCTTAAATCTTCACAATATTTTTCCCTTAAATAGAAAGAAATATTAAATGACATTAATAAAAACTAACTGTACAGATTTTATTAAAGAAATACCACACTAATCTTTGTTTAAAAGCCTGATAACATAAAGAACTAAATAAAGCCCTAACCGCTTTGGCTCAGTGGATAGAGCGTTGGCCTGTGGACTAAAGGGTCCCAGGTTCGATTTCGGTCAAGGGCATGTAACCTTGGTCGTGGGCACATCCCCAGTAGGGGGTGTGCAGGAAGCAGCTGATTGATGTTTCTCTTTCACCAATGTTTCTTATTCTCTATCTTTCTCCCTTCCTCTCTGTAAGAAAACCAATAAAATATAATTTTTTTAAAAAAAGAACAGTAAACTACATGTCTATAAGTTAAAAAATAAAATGTCTTTTTATCTTCCATACCATATGCTTCCAAAAAAATGACACTTTATCAATTCAGAAATTTACTGTCAACACTAAAATAATACAGTTTTATTACTAAAAGCATGTTTAAATTCAAACACTTATAAATTTCATATTAAACTATGTTGAATTATAAAAGATTCTTGTTGAAAATAATATGTAGTTGTAACTATATATTATGAATTTCCTGTTTGTTAAATAAACTGGTCATTAAGCACTCACATCATCCAGTTCAACTATTTCTACAGATGTTTCAGGTCTCTCTGTTCTTAATTCTTCCACTGGCAGAAAAAGAGCTGGGCATTGTACTTCAGTCTCCTCAACTAGGGAATAAAATTGGAAAATAATATCATCAAAGCATATACTTTCCCTGATAATTTCCTATCTTTAAATAACATAGCCAAAAATAAAAGGATAATGTTCTCCTGTATGTCCACACAAATATATAAATGTTGTCAATTTTCCTAGTTCAAGTAAAATATACATTTCCTTAATATTCAATTTTTAAATGAAAGTGAATCTAAAAAATGGAAGAAAGTATGCATTTTGATCAGGAGATAAAGGGTACATGGTCCAGTTGAGAATCATACAGTAAAGAAAAACAAAAGCAGATGCTGATTAATGCTTAGGGTATATAATTTGAAATAATAAATTTGAAAATGTCTAATCAAGACTAAACTAACCATCATTATCTTCATCACTTTCACTTTGAGAACACTGTGCCTCATTAATGGTTGTACACTGAGGTATGAACATATCTGGTGGCATATTTTGAAGTTGCTCCCGTGGAGTTCTACAAAACAAGAAGGAAGCAATTAAAAGACTAAACTACATTATCTAAAACTTCCCTGACAAGATCTTGATTTATTTCACAGAGGAGTGAGTCTACAAAATTAATAATGAAATCATAGCTGTACCTCTAATTCATGGAAGAAAAATATGATTGCATAACAGAATCTTAATTCACTAAAATAATTTTGTAAATCAAATTAACAGCACATAAGATTTTTAAATTGCATATCCCACTGTTTTTTGTTTAGAGTGAAAAGTAAAGTTATGATAGAAGTCAGTGTTCTTGCAGAAGCCACATGAAGCCCATTAAACATACCACCCTATTTAAAAAGCTAATTTATGAATGTGTGTTGTTTCCCACAGCTTTGTGCATTATGTTGATACATTCTAAGAGAACCTGAAGACATTCTTTTAAGCTTCCACCAAGCCAGGAGGGTGAGAACATAGGGCCCCACTATATGAATATGAAGTGTTCTGGCTATGGCATATGTCACCCAATTAACAATGAGGTTTGGTGTGGCCAACCCCATCTCATAAGGAAGGCAATGAAGCACAGGGATTCTCAGAGGTCAAGAGTGCCCCAGAGGTCATTCCCAACTTATTGGGGAGCTGGTCACTTTTTAACAAAGAATAAAAGTAACTATAGCCCTTGAAAACCATACAGGCTCATGAAGTCTACATAGAAAAAGTCAAAGCATTTTTAGTGATATTAATAGGTAACATTAATGCATAACTTAAAATGTACCAGGCTCTTTTCCAACTAATTTGGGGGTATTAAATCTTAATAGATGCATTAAATGGGCACTAGTATTATTTTAATTTTACAGATGAAGATATTGAGGCACAAAGAAGTAAACCAACTTGTTCAAAGTCATTCAGGTAATAAATGCAGAAAAGGAATTTGAACCCAAGGCTTCTGCTTCCCCAAGCCCATGTTCATAGCAATTACTCTATATTGCCTTTCTTTCAATTTGCAAAGGCACTAAAAATTTTATAATTTCATGGAAATCTATGGCTATGTGTATTTTCTGAATACAGGTAATCAATATATAAGAATATTTCAAAATATTTATATTATTCAGCTTTTTGTCAAAAAAAATAATGAACGTGTCATTTTATATCCATAATTGAACTAAGTGATAGAAATATTAAAGAGTAAATGTCAAAGACAAATTGGCATTTGGCAACCAGAAATCTCTTTCCAGTTTGACATGGATATGCTATATTAAAATTCAATCACAGATACACATAAATGTACTATTATCCAGATACTTCTTCATGAAGTAAAAACATCTAATTTTATGAATAAAGCCCTGAACCAAAGACTGACAGAGTCTATATAGTAAAGCGTTGGAGCTAAGGAGCCCTACGAATGTTTATTATAAACTCAATATTTTCCAGATGGAAAAGCGTGGGCCAAGAGAATTTGTGATTTGCCCATAAACAAGCAACCATTTAGTCAATAAACAAGTCTGCATTCTGGATATTGAAACCCTGGCACCCATGCTTTATTAAAGATCATGCTATATAAATAAAGGATAAAATATATTTTAGAATAGAATTACCTCAAAATTTAAATAAATATGTATTGAACATTGACCAATTCATTTGAGGAAACTTTTGATGAGCAGTTCTAAATGTATTCTGTCAATCTGTCAGGCTTTTTGCATCGGAATCACCAAGGAAGATATTTTTTAAATGTAGTCTCATATTCATCCTTAAAAACACTGATTTTTAGATGTGCCTGAGGTTAGGTAGATAAATCAATATTCTAAAACTTGCCCCAGTACTTCTGATGATTAAACTTGACACTTAAATGTAATGAAAAGAGTAGGGGAATTTGAGTGGGAAAACCAGCTAATTCCTAATATCCACCTTTAAAATACTCTAAATCCAAATCTCATGCTCTATTTCATGAAACTCTCCTAGCATTTAATAGATCTACTAGAGATATTAAAATAGTTCTTAAAACACATGTATTGGTTGCACATAAAATACAAATGTTATTATCCAATTTAAAATAGAAAAACAAAACAAAATGCAATGGAACCTCTCTATATATAAAAAGCCAGCGACTGGAACGCCATAATGACCGGAATGACAGGTCACTATGATGCCCACTGTGGCCAGAGAATAGGCCTGATCGAGGTGCCACCGGCTGGCCAACCTCCCGTGGTCCCTCCCTCTGTCTGTCCCCGCCTTTGATCGGCCCACCCCACCCCAATCAGCCCACAGCCCTTCTCCCCAGCCAGCCTTGCCCCTGATCGCACCCCCTACCCAAATAGGGAGTGGGGCCGGCCAGCCAACCTCCTGCAGCCCCTCCCCCCGGCCGGCCTTACCTCTGATGGGCCCCCATCACCCCTATTGGCCCACAGCCCCTCCCTCTGGCCGGCCCTGCCCCTAATTGACCCCCCTACTCCAATAGAGGGTGGGGACAGCTGGCCAACCTGCTGCAGTCCTCTCTTCTATTACAGTACCGCCCCAGATTTGCCCCCCGACCTCATCAGGGGCAGGGCTGGCCGGCCAATCACCACAGCCCTTCCCAAGTCTTCCCCACCCGATCATCCCTACAGCCCTATCGGCCCACATACCCTCCCCCAGCCACCTCCGCCCCCAATTGCCCCCCACTCCGATCAGGGGCAAGGCCGGTGATTGGCCCCCCAACACCACCCACAGTTTTGCCTCCAGTTAGCGCCCCAACACCAATCGGGGGCAGGGCCGGCCAGCCCACCACCCACAGACTCTCCCCACTGCTGGCCCTGCCCCCAATTAGCCGCTCCAGCCCAATCAGGATCAAGGCCCACTGGCCAATCGCCCACAGCCTCTCCCCCTAGCCAGCCTGGCCCTGATCACCTCAATCGGGGTGGGCCGGTTAGCCAAACTCCCACCGGCTCCTCCTCCCCACAGACCTGGCCCTGATCCACCCTGATTGTGGCCAAGCTGGCTGGACCCCACCCATGCACGAATTTGTGCACTTAGCCTCTAGTATATTTATAAAAACCTATTATAAAACATGACAAATATAGGCAAAGATAAAGTCTTAACCATGATCATCATTATCAACAAGGGAAACTTTTCAGAAGTACAGCATCAGAAATGTTGTAATCAATTTACAATCACAAACTTGTAAATTGCAAATAGATTGCCCCACACTAGCATCTATAATTAAAACATAAATCAATAACTAAAAAAAATCACTGTTAAAAAAATAACTGTAAATAAGACCCTAGTGAATATATTCACTAATCATTATTTTCTAACAAGGAAATTTGCCAACATTTAGTAGTCAGCATAGCTCAGGATTTGATGTGCCCATGATTAAAGCTTTTTGTATGTATCCAAGCAAATGATGGCACTCATTTAATAACAAAATTGTACTTTTATTGGATAACAAACTGAATGTGAAAGGCATCAAAAGGCAACCACAATAAAAGATAAGTGAATTTGATATTACTATTATGTACTAATTCTTAAATTAGAATTTTTGAGTTTCACAGGTGAAGAATTGTTAAGGCATCACACTTTAAAGGAGACATAGAAAACTTAAACAATAGTTACATAGGAATAACCAGAATTTGATATGAAGAACTTAAAACCCTGCCACATAAACCACAGTGGGATACACTACACACCTATTAAAGTGACCACCAAAAGAAAAGAATCTGAAAATACCAGGCACTGGCAAGAGTGGAGAGCAATTAGAACTCCCACAGATTGAAGGAAGGTATGCAAAACTATTCAGTCTTATAGAAAAGTTTTTAATCCTATATATTAAAAGCCTAATATGCTAAGTGTCTGGTCGTCTGGTCAACCATTCAACCAATCAAAGCATAATATGCTAATAATATGCTAAGGCAGCTCAACTGTTCTCTATGACATGCACTGACCACCAGGGTTCAGACAGTCAACTGGTTGACCAGTCACTATGACATGCACTGACCACCAGGGGGCAGATGCTCCAACCAGTAGGTAAGCTTGCTGCTGGGGTCCAGCTGAATGGGACTAAGCGAGACTGGCTAGACACGCCCGGGAGCCCTCCCATGGTCCCTCCTGGGCCCCAATCATGCACCAGTGGGGTCTCTTGGCCTGGCCTGTGCCCTCTCATAATCCGAGACTCCTCAGGGATGTTGGAGAGCCAGTTTCGACCTGATCCTGCAGGCCACTCCCCTCAGGAAGCTGCCAGATGCAGGGCTCATGGCTGGCAAGCACTGCTGCAGCAGCGCGAGCCTCTCCGGATAGGGACTGATTGGCCGCATGCCCACAGCTGGCACAGTGGGGCTGGGATGAGTGGGAGCTGCAGGTAGGAGCTGCAGGTGGTGTTGGACTGCGGGTTTCAGCCAGATCCCCACAGGCCACCCTGAGATACCCCTTCCATGCACTGGGCCTCTAGTTTTCTCATAAAGATAAACATACACTTCAACCATACAATTTAGCCATCCTAGTCCCAGGTATTTACCCAGAAAATTTAAAACCTATATTCAAACAAAAACATATATATAAATATTTATAACAGCTTTACCCATAATTACAAAAATACTAGAAATCAGCACCCTATTTTTCAACAGTTGAATAGATGAACTATACACCACAATGATGAACTAATACTCCACAATAAAAACAAATGGATTTTGATTCACTCAAGAATATAGATGAATCTCAAATGTATTTTGCTAAATGAAGGACACAAGGTCTACATATTATATGACTTCATTTACATGACATTCAGAAAAAGTAAATGTATAAAGAGGGAAATAGACCAACGGTTGCCACAGGTCAGGGAAGAAGACCTGACTATAAAGGGGAAGCATGAAGGAATGTTGAAGTGAACAAACTGTGCTATTTGGTACAATGGCAAACACATGACTTGAGGTATTAATAAAAATTCATAGAACTGTACAGGAGTTTATGCTAGTCAAATTTTAAAAAGTAATCAAGGAATGGTAAAGCCATTCCAACGAAGGTGGGAAAGAAATGGGTGTCATGTCCTGAGCAACTTTGGAAAACAAGGTTTAGACTAGACACTGTGGGCTAACGATAAAAGCACTATACACATGTACTTCAGTTGAGGAATCTGTTTCTCACAGTGATTTAAGTCATGTGATACTACTTTATACATATCCTGAAGTTGATAAATTAGTAAATATATCACAGACCATGAGAGCCAGTATTCTCACTGTAGGCAAAAGAAACTACAAATAAGCTACATTGCTATGAATGGACCTTTAAAGACAATTCTGGTGATCTATATCAGTAGAAATAAGGGTGGTAAATGCCATTCTGATCAGGTATTGAAACAGGAATTTGGGGAGTTGAAAAAGGCAGGTTTACATTTTAGAAATTAAGGGGACTATGGAGGAAGCACAGGGCTGCAGCGCAGCAGAAGGTATATTTCCATAGAATAACGGAGCTGAAAAGCTGCAACAGGTACATTTCCATAGAATGAGGGAGCTGGGAACAGCAAAAGGTCTATCTTTACAAAAGAGAAGGAAGCCCTTTATCCAGAAGGAGAAGAAGAAAACCCAAAGGGAATAGGAAAACAATAAGGAAGGGGGTGGGGGGGAACATTACATGTCCCATGTGAGGTTGGACCTTTGAGCTCAGGAGCTACTAAAGTAACCAGTCTAAGGGAATAGTGACCAATCAGAGGGGATATCAAGGCACCAGAATCTGTAGCCTTTATAAGCCATAGGGAAAAGGAACTCAGTGGGACCCTTTCCCCCTCCCACATGGGAATCCATTCTGTGGGACTCTTCCGCCTCCCTACTTGGGGGTCTGTACTTATTCTTCAATAAATTTCCACCTTTGCTATACCATCTTCTGTCTGTGGATTCATTCTTCAACTCTGGTGGATGAAGAATCCGGGTTCCAGTCCAGGGGAACACCACATGTTCCAGTCCAAAAATTCTGTTTCAGTATCAGATGGAAGTAAGAAACATGCTACTACACAATGGAGAAAAGGCAATCTATATTCATAAACCAGCACAGAACTTTCCTGACTTTCCTGACTTTTGTTTCTGTCATAGGGTTTTATGAAAGGTAGAACTTGCGAGTTTATATGGCTGAGGCAATTTCTAAGCAGTGTTGGAGAGACCTGGTTCTCATGGCTGCTCATAATAAAGTGCAAGAAGAGAGAAATGACTTAAAGACAGAATTATTAATCAAAAGAGAAGCAAAACTCAGTAATTTGGAACATTCTCAGACTATCCATACTGAAAATAATGAAAGCCTATTCAGGAGAAAACAGGAAGTAAATGGCCAAAGGATCATCTGATAGGGAGATTAGCCATCAGTCTAAACAGAAGCCAGGGCCTATTATCCAAGACAAAGGAATGACGACCCTGAAGGCGATTCAGAAATCGATCCCTCCCATCACAGAACAAGAAAGGCCCAGGCTACTGCAGAGAGCAATGCCCAGAGAAACTGTAGGGATAAGGCCACCTGTGTGACCCTAGACTACAAGTGCCACCAGATTCCATGCTGGAGAGTCATTGGGATGCAATACCGCATTCAGCCACCATAGAAATGAGACTGCCCAAAGCCATGGGGGCAGAGCCAACCAGAAACTTGGAAGCCCAACCTCTGTCCAGCAAAGCTATAGGGAAGGTCTGCTGTCTCAGTGTGTTCAGAAGGCTGGAGCCCTACTCTAGTGTATCGAGAAGGCGGGACCTCCATCCCAGTGGGCCTGGAGGGCAGAGCATCAACAAAGGGGATGTGGGAATATCTACTGTATGCCCGTCCCACCTTTGTATTTGGAAGCATATATCATGTTTGATTTCACAGGTTCACAGTTAGAAAGCAATTTGCCTCCAAATGAATCATACACTGAATCTCACCCATATCTGAATTAGATAATATTTATATAACAATGTGAACTTTAGACTACTGAATTGGTGTTGGAATGAGTTAAGAATTTTAGGGCAATTGAAATGGAATGAATATATTTTGCATGAAAGTAGGACATGACCTTGGAGGGATCAGGAGCAGAAAGCTCCGTTCTGAATGTCTGTGTTCCCACAAAATTCATATGATGAAATCCCAGCTCCCAAGGTAATAGTATTAGGAGATGAGGCCTTTGGGAGGAGAGTAGATCATGAGGGTAGAGACTTCATAAATGGAATTAGCGCCCTTATAAAAGAGACCAAAGACCCCTCCCATCTGTATGTGAGGACACAATGAGAAGATGGGCATCTCTGAACCAGGAAGCAGGCTCTATCCAGACACTGAATCTGTTGGCACCTTTATCTTGGACTTCCCAGCCTTAAGAACTGTGAAAAATAAATGCTGTTTATTAATATTTAATGTTAAATTTTAAACAATTTATGAAATGGTGAATGTACTGTAATAGTCTTTGTATAAAATATATTTGAATACTCTTGATAAAATTATAAAATTAAAGGTCTAAGTAAACTTAAAAGTAGATTCTGAAAAATATAGCCTCAAAAGTTTATGCTAATTTCAAATGTCTGAGAGCAATATCTTCTCAAAGTAGTCTTTCATTAATCACATTATTTTGCTATTATTCTAAAAATTGTATATTGTTTTATGCCTTTTCCCCACCTTTACATTTACATTTCTCAAGGGAAACCCTAAATGAATGATGCATCATATATATAAATAGAATTAAAATTCTTATTAGAACAGTAGAAGCTTTGTGTGGATTTAATATTGCTTTAAAATTATTTATGCAAATATAAAGCAGACATATAAAATTGCTACAAAAAAGCATGCCACACAAGCAAAAATATAAATAGCATTTTATATTACTTATTAATAATACAAAAATTTAGAAAATACCTTCTGTGTTTTTTAAGCCATAATTTTTCCATATAGGATATACTGTCTTCTTTAAATTCAATATGAAGTGGTTCTCTCCAAATTTTCAGATTGGTTTGTACCTCACATTCTTCCAATGAGTCTATAACAATAAATATAACATACATAGTTAATATAACCTAGCCTATAAATTGTAACTTCTCCCAAGATACAGAACTTGTCAAATATGCTTTGATATTCATCTATAATCAATAGTTCTGGGCTTAAATAATGCAAAAGTTTTAAATATTGATGATTTATCAAATAACTGTGTAGACAGTTTTCTTCCATAATCACTTGAAATGAAAGAATCTTATGATTGCCCGGCCAGAGTGCCTCAGTTGTTGAACATCGACATATGAACCAGGAGGTCACAGTTTGATTCCCAGTCAGGGCACATGCCTACCCAGGTTGCAGGCTTGATCCCCAGTGTGGGGCATGCAGGAGGCAGCCTATCAATGATTCTCTCTCATCTTTGATGTTTCTATCTCTCTCTCCTCTCCCTTCCTCTCTAAAATCAATAAAAATATATTTTTTAAAAATCTTATGATTCACACGGTTTTTAAAAGCAACTAATTCTTTTAAATGCTAACAGATAAAAACAAATAGATTCATTATATATTCCATAAACACACACAAACATAAAGGTATGTATTATAGTCACTGACAATAATATTTACAGAAGATGGGAAACAGAAAGGAAATAACTCAGAAGGTAGAACCTGGAGGAGACAACTTCTTCATGAATTGATGTCGACATGGCAATTTATTTCCAGATGCTTCAGACGTTTCTGAAGTACTACCAAATTAAAACCACTATTCAGAGATATTTAAAACTGATGGAGATTTCTGGGAAATAAAAAACTAGAAAACTTGGAAATTCAAAGCACATTACTAAACGAAATGGGACCAAAAAACATTTGGAAAGATACTCATGTCATTTGAAATGAGATGCAAAATTAGATATACCATTTTATCTCTATCAGTCCAGCAAAACTTTAAAAATCTGATTATTTAAGTGTTGGTCATGGGAAGCAACCCAACCTTTCACACTCTGCAGGTGAGAATGTAAACTGATACAAACACTTAGGTAAATAATTCAGCTTTATCTAGTGTAGTTGAGTACATGCACAGCCATATGACCTAGCTCTTCCACTCCCAGGAATAGACACCCTAGAAATGTGTGCACATGTGTTCCAGGAGACCTGTACAAGAATATTCACAACAGCATCATCCATTTGTATAGCAAAAATGAGAATCAATCCAAATAACCATCTACATTCAAATAGGCAGATTGTACTATCCTATATAATAAAGGGGTAATATGCAAATTAACCCTCACACCCTCACAAGATGGTTGCCTACGACCAGGCCGGCAGGGAGGGTAGTGAGGGACAACCAAACGACTGAAAAAGCAGGCTGTGTGGGGCGACCAGGCCAGCAGGGGGGTTAGTAAGGGACGACCAAAAGACTGAACAGCAGGCTGCATGCAGTGACCAGTCCAGTGGGGGGGGGGCGTGAGGGGTGACCAGGCTGGAGGGGGACGGGGGGAGTTGGGGGCGACCAGGCCAGCAGTGTGGGGGGGGGAAGTTGGGGGTATCCAGGCTGGCATGGGGGCAGTGAGGGGCAACTAGGCCAGCAAGGGGGGCAGTCGGGGGTGACCAGGCCAGCAGAGGGGGGCAGGTGGGGGCAACCAGGCTGGCAGAGGGGGACAGTGAGGGGCGACTAGGCCAGCAGGGGGGGAAGTTGGGGTGACCAAGCCAGCAGAGGGGGGCAACAGGGGTGACCAGGCCGCCGGGTGAGGGCAGTTAGGAGCAACCAGGACAGCAGGGATGGAGGGGTTGGGGGAGACCTGGGCGGCAGCAGGAGGTAGTTAGGGGCAACCAGGCCAGCAGGGGGGGAAGTTAGGGGTTACCAGGCAGGCAGGCAGGTGAGTGATTAGGAGCCAGCAGTCCAGGATTGTGAGAGGGATGTCCGACTGCTGGTTTAGGCCCGATCCTCAGAAACCGGCATGGGAAGCAGTTGGACATCCCCCAAAGGGTCCCGGATTGGAGAGGGTGCAGGCTGGGCTGAGGGGAACCCCCATCCATGCACAAATTTTGTGCACCAGGCCTCTAGTATTCATATAACAGAAGACTCTTAAGCAGTGAAAATGAATGAAATACAGCTATGCACATCTTCATGGATAAATATCATGGGTTCTCTAAACATTAAACCACTAATCATACAGTGAATATTTTTTTGAGGAGTTATATCAAACTGCTATCCCAATGTTAATAGTTTTGAATATTGCATTTATATTCACAGATAAAAAAGTTAAGTTCAGCTTTATTTACAGCATTCATTTTATAAAAATAGCTATACCTGGCTTTGCTGCAGGCAAGTTCTGCTCCCCATTGTCATTCTGATGTCCAGTTCTCCATTCATTTAAAACTTCCTGAAAGGACTGGGCAGAAGCTTCTTCATCGAATGACCCTTCACACAAGAGCCTATCTCTCGGGTTTATACACTCTCCTTTTTGTGTGGTTGAAACTTCCATCTAAACCAATTAAAAAATGTATCTAAGTATGCTTTTCTAAATTTTCCGGATCATAAAATGAAGATAGCATTAATTGTTAGGCATTAAAAGTCACACGTTTTTTAAACTTACAAGTAGAATGTTTTAAAGGTTTACTTATGTATATGCTCTACTGGTTTCTTTCAAACTGTGTCCACAATTATAAATGGTCTCTTTAGAAATTATTAAAACTGGAGCCTACAAGACTGACGATTTATCATTATTATGCACCAGTGTTCTCCCTGGAAAGTGACAACAGTCTTGTATGTGTTGTCACTTCTACTTCTCCAATCTCCTGCTCCTGCCATCTCCCCACAGCAGAAAGAGCAGTTTCATAACTTGCAAATTTGATCAAGGCAGGCCTCTGCTCAAAACCCTGCAATGACTCTGTATGAAGCCCCCAGACCCTACTAGCATTTACCAGTGCCTACACAACCTTGTACTCCCTGCCTTTCAGTCAATTTCCTTCAATTTCCCCCTTCTCTTACCTTGCTCCAGACAAACCTATATTCTTAGTTCTGGGAACTCACCCAGCACCTTCCCACTTAAGGGCTTTGCACTATCTTTACCCAATGCCTGGAGTGAGCCTTCTCCACACTCCACACAGTCATTCCACTCATTTCAGTCAGTCTCTGCTCAAACGTCACCTACTCAGAGAGGAGATAATGAACCTGCTGATGACCTAAAAATATAGACCCCCCAAACACTTTCTAATTCCTTATCAGCTTTACTTTTCGCAAAATAACGTATCTGTGTGAATTTACTCTACATGTTTAATTGTTTATTGTCTCTCTTCCCCCATTAGAATTCAATGAATCAGGGGATATTTTCCTGCCTCAGTGCCAAGATCCAGGCTCAAAGTGATGCTCATTAAAAGTTGGTTGAATGAATGAAGAAATAAATGCATGTGAAACATTGCATGGTGCTTAGCGTAAAGATGGGAGAAACGATGAATTCAGTATAAAATATAAATCCACTGTGAACACACTGAAAAAATAAAGGTTGGCATTGGCAGTTATCCATTGAATCAGAGAAATCCAAATTATGAAGCCAAAGCAAAATAAATTCCACACCAATGTTAAATCACCAAGTGTGGATTACCTATACTAATATCAAATTGCTAAGTCGGCATTGTGTATCTCCTAGATACACAAGTAGGATCTTCTATGTTCAGTCCTTAATTGCAAAATAAACAGGCAGATTGTTAGAGTACAATTGCGAGAAGATGATTAAATAGTGCATAAAAAATTTAAATATAAAGAAAAACCACCTGGGAGCCTGCCAGACACTGTGCTAGCTGCTGGCCATAGAACACAGGTTAATAAGTCCCCAACAGAGACAGGTGCAAGAGCAGGTATTTAACTCAGATAAACAAGAATTCCGTGGGCAAGAAGTGGCACGGGCAGGATTCCAGAGAGAGGGAATGATACATAGACGGAGACATGGAGCCAAACAGCAGTATGGCATGAAACTGGAAGTAGTTTATATTGTGATAGCACAGAGTGGGATATGAAAAAATATAAAGGGTGGAAAGACAAAGAGGGGGCAGATCATGAAGAATCCTGCCTGCCACACAGAAAATTAGACAAACTTATTGAAAACACAAAGCCACTGAAGAGTCACACACAGAAAGAGAGAAATGGGGGGTGGGATGAGATAGTGAGCTTGAATGCAAGGAAAATGTTATGGCCATTTGACAATATCATTACAAATGCATAACCCTCTGCAGTTAGGAATGTCAGGAATTTATTATGTAAATATACATATGTATGCAAAACAACATTTTTCAAAAACATTCTTTATACTATAGTTTGTATTGGCAAAAGACTGAAACAGGTTAAATGTTGATCAGTGGAAAATAGATCTTAAAAAGTCTAATAAATGGAGTACTTTTTACCCATTATATAGAATGAAAAGGTTCTAGAATGCACTTAAATTGATATGGAAATATTTTGTTAAGTGTAAAAAGCATGTTTTCAGAGCAGTTTGCAAAGTATACTAATATTGGTTTCAAAAAATACCTACATACAAAATTGGAAATATTATTGATTCCTAGAAGGAGAGAGAATAAAATGAAATTTACAGCCTATAAACATTTTTCACTTTAAGAAAGAGCTAATTTCAGGATTAAGAATAACAATAAGAATAGAAATGACCCAACAGTCAAGAGAGGCTTTAGATGGTCAACTGCATGGGACATGGTAGCTGATTGGATGTGCAGAGGCAGGAGAGACAGGACTATTGAAAATAACTGTTCTTGCCAGCTTGGGAAGCTGGGAAGCTGGGAGATGGGCTGACACCAATAGTAACATCTATTGGAAGAGAAATAATGAATTTGATTGGAAAATATTGAGTTCCAGAAATATGTGGGAAGGTAATTACAGGCATCCAGTACGCAATGTGTGTGTGTGTGTGTGTGTGTGTGTGTGTGTTGCACTAATGAAGAAGCATTGAAAACTCAGTGCAATGGTTTCAGTGTGTGGTGATTGCAGCAACTCCCCAGGGAGGCTCCTTTCCAAGCAACAAATCAGACATTTGTATTTTATAGCTATGCCTTTGGAACACTTGGCTTCCACATAGTAGTGACAGAATAGGAAAAAGCCAGCAGATTGTACATTGGTTCTTAAATGTTTCAGCCCAGACTGACTTCCACTCAGAGCCCATGACCCTGCCCATTGCTAAAAGGGCTAGAAAGTTTGATGAATCGGTGCTGTACGCTCATTACCCCCCTGGGCCGCGTGATATCCCTGCAAGACATGTTTATTCCCGTTTTCATATATACGTGCCACTTTCCAGAAGAAGAAACAGAGCATCAAAAAGGCTAAGTAAAATGCTGGATGTTATAAAAGCTCTAAGAAAATCCAGGTTTCAGTCTCTAAAATGAAAGCTCTTCCATGAACTATATCCCTTTCCAAGGATATCCGGTGCCCTGAATCCATAAGAAAAGCCCTAAGACAGATATTAGGCATTAGCACCATTTTGACTCTTCCAGGCTTTGGAATTGCTTGGTATGGTAATTAAAAATCAGATTCCTGTACTCTAACCCAGATGTGAAAAAAATATATCAAAATTTGAGTGACAGACCAGGAATGCACATCCCATACTTCTGATGCTTATCACAGTTGGAGAACCACTGCTCTTCAGAACAGAAGACTACCAAGCATGCACTACAGACCGGTGCACACCTGAGGGTCCATAGCAGTGACTCCCAACCAGGAATACTCACCAGAATCACTGAGCAGTTGCTAAGTGGACCCCACACATAGAGATGCTGAACTCAGTGCTGTGTGTTTCTCTAAGGTTTCTCCAGTTGAAGAAATGTATATACTCCTGGATGAAACCACTGAATTAAAGGTTCTTAAGTTGCCGAAACCGGTTTGGCTCAGTGGATAGAGCGTCGGCCTGCGGACTGGAAGGTCCCAGGTTTGATTCCGGTCAAGGGCATGTACCTGGGTTGCGGGCACATCCCCAGTGGGAGATGTGCAGGAGGCGGCTGATCGATGTTTCTCTCTCATCGATGTTTCTGACTCTCTATCTCTATCCCTTCCTCTCTGTAAAAAATCAATAAAAAATATATATATATAAAAAAAGGTTCTTAAGTTAAGGCAAGAGGTGAGGGTCTATACAGCAGTTACCTATGTGGATAAGAGACAGCACTAATTCTAGGGATTAGAAGCGCAGGCAAAGAAATAAGCTCTATAGCTTTTTCATAGGTTACTTACTTAGGCCCCCATTGTCCTCATCTGTTAAATGGGGTAATAATAATGCAAAACTCATATGTTACTATGATTCTTGAATAAGATAAGGCAGGTAAGTAACTAAGCACAATGCCTAGCATCAAGTGTTTAATAAATGTTGGTTGTTGACATATCATTATTATTGATAGGGTAAATTAGATAAAATGGCTGGCATGAAGGAAAAACCTTAAAATCATAGTGTCTGGGTAGTGGTTAAAAGCAAGTAATTTGGAATCAAAAGGTCTGGGTTCATATATAAGTTCCACTATCAATAATACCTAATAATAATACCTAATAGTATCTCGGGCAATATAAAAAACTGTTTTTTGCCACTATTTTCTTATTTGGAAAGAAAAAGAAGTAATTAATAAAGGACAATACTCTTTGTAATACTTTAAGCAATAAAACAAAATTTAAAAAAGGACAAAAATGGATGTTACAGGTAAAATATTTAAGACAGTATCTGGCACACAGATTATATTAAAATCTGAGGAAGTTTGTCTTTTGTTAAAAAGTCAATACAGCAATTCTATTATAAAAATATGGACATGAGCTGATGAAACTTATCTAGCACATCATGGGATCAGTAATCAATCTCAATAACTACCAGCATTTGGTATAAATCCGATTATAAAAAGCTGTGAGAGTCACTGTCACCTAAAACACTTGGCAAGGTTTTGTACTCAGCCTCTGAAGTCCTGATTCGTATAAAGTCATTATATTGCGTTGTGTTATCTATTTTTATGTTCCTCCCAAATACTCATTCATTTCCTGAAATGGTGGAAATGCCCAGAAAGCCAGAGTCAAAGGATCATTCATTAAGAAATCAGCACCCAGTGCAATCAAAGCAATCTCCTTATAGTCAAGATGTTTTTTGATTAATAAAAAAATTCATATTAAATAACAATGTGATAAAATAATCTGCAAAACTCTACCGCTCTCGCTAAGTATATGCATGACCACGACTGTATATGACAGAAATGTCTCCTACATTTCCCACAGCTTACCTGAGAGCTGCTCCCCTGCAGCGGAGGAGGTTTGGGTAGATGCTGACTCTTACTAATTTCTTTTGGAGAGCGATTCTCCCCTTTGGGTTTATCTGGATTAACTTCCTTTATAAACCCATGGGCAACATCCAATACACTGGATAATATTTGAGATTTTGCCTGTTAATAAAGGAACAAAATATGATTAAAAAGCCAAATACATAAGCCTCAGTAATTTAGATACATCAAATTATATTTTCATTATTCCATTCCTACTAAATTCAATGTATTTTACTTAATATTTAAAAATACAAATTGACATTTATATCAACCCATATAATAGTGACAGCTACCAATGTTTAGAGGGGCTAGTTTGGGCTCATTATGCCTAAACATCTTAAAAACATGTTATTTAATCCTAAGGTCAACTCTGAAGCATACCTAATTTTATCTGTTTCAGGGATAAAGAAACAAAAGCTCTGAGTGTTTAACTAACTTGCCCTTGGTCACATGGTGAGTGGGTGGCAGAGCTGGGAAGTGACCCAGGTGTATATAATTCTAATGACTCATAGCCTTTCCAACCCCAAATAACTAGATGGGCAATTTTATGCACACCAGGGCTAAAGAACTAAATATAGCTTATATGGTAGGAGCCCGGATAAGCAGTAATAAGTATTCCTTGGTGATAAAACATCTTTAGAAACTATTAACTGTTTAAAAGTGGAAACACAGGAAGTGCGTCTACCTGTAGTTCCTGAGTGCACTTCAAGTTTCTCCGCATGTTGCACCTTCACTCATGAGTTTCAGTTACCAGGAAGGCCCTCCATCCTCTACTATTTTCTTTGCCTGTCAGACTTCTCCTTCTCCTGGATTTGTCCCCAGTTATTCTCACATCAGGAACCTTTCCTGGCCTTCCTTCTCCAGCTGTGTGCAGTGCCCATTCTCTGTACCCTCTTCCTACCAACAACTACAATAGTAATTTTACATCATCTTTTGGTGTCTATCTATCCCATGATACCATACAAGCTCCATGAGGTCCGAGAGTTGGCAACCGCTGATCTGGAGAGTATTATGCTGAGCAAAATAAGCCAGTCAGAGAAAGACAAGTACCACATGATCTCACTCACATGTGGAATCTAATGAACAAAATAAACTGTTGAACAAAATGGATCCAGAGACATAGAAGCATGGAACAGACTGTTAATCTCAGAGGGAAGGGGGTGTGGGTGAGTGGGTGGGCAGGAAGAGATCAACCAAAGAACTTGTATGCATACATGCATAACCCACGGACACAGACAATAGAGTGGTGGAGGCCTGGGGTGGAGGAAAGGGGTGGGCCTGAAGGGGCCAATGGGAGAAAAATGGGACATATGTTATACTTTCAACAATAAAGATTAATAAAAGTAAATGATTGAGAAAAATAATTCAAAAAAAGCTTTCCAAGAGCCTTCTTCAGAGTGAAAAGGAACAGGCAAATCTCGGGAAGGCCCTATTCTGAGGAGTCTCCTATCAGAACTCCCTGGGTTTGCCCAGGACACTGCAGAATGCTGAATGCCCTCTGAGCTTAAACCCAACAAACTCCAGGGGCAGACTCAGGCCTTTCCGAGGCTCTCTGACAGCCTGGCATTGGGAGCAAAAGCAACAGGTCTTACTTCTTAGCAAATGTCCTCAAGACAGGGGAAAACTCTGGCAGGGATCAGAAATAATTCATTCGGACTCTCCCATGGAAATATTCCTATTTTTAAATTTTCAACTACTTACCTATTTAAATAGCTAAAATTACATGGAAACTTTCCAGTATGACCTTTTGAAAATTTGTTAAGATTCTATCTGATTCTTGAATAAATCAGTGAACATCAAATTAACTGGTGTTATTTCACACTGAATTAATGTTATATATGAAAAAATGACTAAGGAGATCTATGCACGCAATTGCTATGCTTATACAGGTCTATAGTATCTAGTCCAAATTTCACAACGATCATTCAAAAGCCCATTTACACCCATGCAGCCCTTTTTAAAAAAAAATACATTCATAAATATAGTACAATATTATTGTGCATATTCATTATACTGTGCACCAGATCTCTATGGCTTATTTACTACTCATTGCACTTAACACTGCTGAACTGTACACTTAAAAATGTTTAAGATGAAAACATTTATGTTATTTGTTTTTTACCACAAATTTTAAGCAATGAGTGCATGTTATTGTTTACATGAGAAATGTTGAGTGCATGTTATTGTTTATAAATTGAAGCTGAATACAGTTGATTTAACAAGGAAAAACATGAAAGGAAGACAAAAGAAAATATTCAAGCCAATGATACTACTTTATTCTTCCAGAAATAACTGCATTTTAGCAAATATTTTCTAAACATAATCCTATCTAAGCCTGATTTTATATTTCCTAGAATAAAGGTCTGTTGATTTCAAAAGTGGTTAAAATATCTAGTTTTCATCTTATCAAATATCAAAATAAAAAACAATGGTATTAATTTTATATAAAAGTATCACAATAGAATCATCATTCAAGTATATATGTTTATTTAAATAGCACAAAAGAAAGATTATTCCTGTCCTAAAATGAAGCTTGCTATCAATGTTACAATAATTTTTGTAACATTTTTAGGGAGCATTTTAAAAGACTATGAAATAGCCAAAAAATGATTTTATTCCTGTATTAAATTTACTATTAAAAATATGATAAACATCGTGGATAACTGATCAAATGGAATGTTGTTTATCTGGATGTCTAAAAGTTCTGTTAATCCAGGATAAATAAAATGCCAATAAACTAGAATTTTCTTTCTCAGAAAATTGAATATTTAAATATTATTTTCCTCAGTTCTAAAAGTGTACATGTATACTCTATTTTTCTTATTCTTAAAGTAATCATTCCAATACAGGAACAGATATTTTGAGCCCCATTACCTGGACAAGGAAACCCAAGCTCATAAAGCTTAGGTCAAAGCCAATGGGTACAAAATGATTTAGGGCCAAGGTTTTTCTCCTCTAGCCTAACCCTGTTTCCTACTGAATTAACACAGAAAATATGCTTTACTTATGCTTTCTTGAAAATAAAATTACTTTTTGTTTGTTTTTAATTTATTTGCTTGTTTATTTCAGGTTTGAGCAAGCACCAGCAAATTGGAGGGATGACCCAGGATTCTCCTTTTACTCATCGTCTCTGTTATCCACGTGTATGGGGAGGGTTGGGGGCAACATACACTTTGAAAAGAGTAGGATTGTAGGACAAACTTAAACCATCTACCTCTGAACTAAGAGGTGTATATTTAACAGGATCAGTAAGCCTAGAAATTCACCATAGTACAGTAACATACTATTTTACAATACTTAAAAGTTCCCAGATATGTGAAAAATATATCACAGATATTAATAACTTACAGCTTTCTGTTCTCCAGACCCAATCACCATACTCAGTCCAGAGAAGAATTGACAACTAGTTGCTGGACACTTTTACCTCCCCACCTAGGGAAGTTCTCTCTTTGAATCTAATGGAGCTCTGTGATAGTTACTGAATGTGAGAAACAGTAATACGTTTCCAATAGCAAGGTGATAAGAAAGGAATGTGCCTTCTCTCTCCTTGTCACTGCATGGTGTATAGTGACTTTGGAAGTAACATTGAATACGGTGAATGTTACAGGTAAAAGTCACCAAATCATTGCTTAAGAGGGAAGATGTCTTAGGAACATGCATGTTAAACTCTTAGGTGAGTGAAAAAATAACTTTTACTATAGCAAGCATATTTGGAAACTACCCCTAACTGGGTATTGTTTGAGCTAACAAAAAGAAAATGTTTTAAAAAGGTGTTTCCCTTTAATAATGTACGTAAATACGCTACTTCCATGCCTTGCCGAAGTTTTCCTCCCTACTTGGAAACGTGAGTGCTCCTATTATAATTCTCTTTATCACTTTAGGCCCAGATCAAATGTTATCCAGTTCCAATGTATATCCATTGGCATTATTAAAAGTCAATTAAAAGGGCAACTGTTTAATCTCTCTGAGACAAAGTTTTCTTCCTCAACTAATTGGAGCAAAATGGACATATTTTCTGTGTGCTCTTATACGCCTTGCTTACATCCACAGAGCTTTCCAGCTCAATGTGTGACCCATACATCAGCAGCATCTCCATCCCTGGAAACTTTCTGAAAACACAAACTGTCAGGTCCCATTCAGACTCACTGACTCAGAATCTGCAGTTTCACAGGTAACTTGAATGCACATTCAGTTTTGAGCATCTCTGTGTCAAAACACTTATCAGTCAGTGGTGTTACAATTGGTTGAATACAGCTGTCTTCCCTTTTGTGAATTCTTGAGAGAGGGAACCATGTCTCATTCTGCCTGATACACAATGTTTTACATCGCCTTCTTTCAATTCTCCTCCCGGAAGCCCTGTCCTTCACACTTTGCAACTAGAACATTGCTGGTTGAATCAAATTTAACTAATTTACTGAGATAAAAATGACTGAAAATTCCATTTGAATATTTGTCGCTTATACTCAAGCTAAGTCAATGTTGACACAGATAAAATAAATAGCACTATCAATAAGAGTACAAAAGGGGAAATTATGTACCTCACTAAGCCTAAGTGTTTGTACCCGTAAAATGAAGACAATAGTTACCTTGAGGAGCTGTTGTGAAGAATATACATTCTGAATGAAAAACACCTTGCAGAGTGATATAGGGCATTTGAACGATTGCTACCATTTTATTTAGATCACTATATACTACTTCTCTGTAAAATAAATTGTTAAAATACCCAGAAAAAAGAATTTCTCCCTAATTATTAGACAGAAGTGGGATTTCAGACTAGGGTATAATAGAGAGGTCAGTAAATAATTGTACCTTCATAAAACAAATATTATATTGGGTACATTTGTTAAAAGCTATTTCAGGAAATCAACCAAAAGCAAACAACAAGAAGTAGTCAGTCAAGAAAAACACTGTGCCATTAGTGAAGTGTCCAGCTGCCTTGCATGGGGCTGCTCCTATTTTATATTTCCCTTCCCAACTCTATCAGTGTAACTAGGGCAAGACTGGCCTTGCTCAATAGGGAGTGTGCTTGATTCTCAGCAGAAAGCAGAATCTTGAAGTTTCTGTGGCATTAACAACAATCTAGTGAATTTGGTTACAAGTGAATGGGAAAAACCTATAGC